GAGGAAAACATGAACAAAGCAGCCATATTCTGGGGCAGGAGGTAGCCTGAATGCAGGAAGAGACCAGAACAGAGGTGGCAACGACAATCTGAGGCAGTCTCCTCTGGCAAGAGGAGTAGAGCAGAAGATGCAGGAACTCCCACTTGAGAGATCTGATCTTCTGATTAAAACGGCATATAGTGCATCTGGCAGGAAGTTTGGATAGTTTAAAAAGAGAAGAGAGAAATAAAGATGGTACTACGTTACTAGGCGGCATTGCTTATGGAAAAGAAACAGAAACATACACAAACAAAAAACAAAAGAAAAAGACCCGATTGGTACCCTGCGTCTTAACTAGGCTTTCCTGGACTCTTTCCTCTTGTGGGGTATGAAGCTTCAGAGCCCGGGCAGCTTACACATGTGCCTGATGGAAACCCCGTGTCTGCACACCTGAGCCATCACCTGTGGTGAAGAAGGTCCTACAGGGCTCTGTGGGCTGCTGCAAAGACTACTCCCACTGGAGAGGAACACCTGACGCTGCCCTAGTGGCAATATGTGGCCCACGGCAGAGTCTAGCCAGCCTGAATGTTTAGTTGAACTTAAAATAAATGGTGGATATTATGGGGCTCTAAGACTTACTTTTTTTAGGTTCTATGAACATGAGTGATTAACACGAGACCAAAGCACCACACTGTGTAGTAACAACACAGCAGTGAATAAGAGCAAAGGCAGGAACGGGAAGACCTGATGGATTCTCAGTCTGCATGCTAAATTGGTTCTAGACGCTACAACAGATTACAAGCTAACTGCAATAGTGAGTCTGCTGTGTCTGATGCCGTTTTCTAAAGATCTAAGTACTTTGAAACCACATAAGTTGATCACTGACATACCCTGAGAATCTGATCACCCTCTTCCAAGCCTTCTTTGGCAGCAGGGCTATCTTCAAGAACGCCAGCTACAAATATTCCAACATCATTTCCACCGGCCAGCCGCAAACCCACACTATCTCCTTTCCTGAATTTTACTAATTTCATGCTGGGCCTGTTAAGACAAATATTTCATTTGAAACAGTTAAGAGAAGCTTGAAGAGTTATAGCAAACTACTACAATAAAAACCATATTTAGAATAAAACAAAGGACCATCATCTCTAAAATTTACCCTACACCTCTAATTTACTGAATAAAATTTATCATTAGAATACCAAACCAGATTTAATAACACTTTGTTTTAATTTTTGATTAACAAAATAAGCTTTGAAATATCCAAATTCAATATGTAAGTACTGTCTTACATATAATTATAAAATTACTTCATAACAATGTTTTCCCAACTTTGAGTCTTGGATATATGTGGTACATTAACAATGGCTAAAAAATCTTCCATTTCTCCCACCCCAATTCATACCATATCATCTCTACTGAATAACTAAGAAGCACTATTGTACAAAGGTAGAAACTGAGCATAAACTGACAAATTTCCCTAATGCCAGAGAGTCAAAATCAGGCTCTAAGCACTGTAATCTCTATACCCAACAGACAGTGGTTTTGAAACTGTGCAGTTAGGGGACTCCTTCAGTAGTTCACACAGATCACTTACTCTGCAGCCCCTTTGAATTTTAAACAAAAAGCTTATCATCATTCAGCCTTTTTGGATTAGTCCCATATTTAAGCTCTGCCCCCTTCTTGCTAGAGAGAATGGAAAGGAATTAATGCAGGCACATTCCTCTACTATCAGTGTAGTGTCAAAGCTCTGTGACACTCCTAAAACACCAAAGAATGCCTTAGAAGAATGGCTAGACAGAAACACATCATAACTAAGCATTACCCTTTGGGGTAATTAATTACAAATTACATACATAATTACAAATTTTCCTTCTAGGTTTCTATAACCATCCCACATTCCAAGCCAAGAAGACACACAATTCTTCTACCTATTCTGACACGATGTGTGGGAAAAAGTCCTTTTCCTCTTAATTTACTAAGTAACAATGAGCAAATAATTAGAAACTAGTAGTAATGAAAAAACACAAATCAAACGAATGAATGAGTTGAGGGAAGAGAGATGCCTTGTTCTTTAAAACCAACTAAAGACCACCTTAGCTTTCAGAACTTACAAGGTAGTCATATTTGACCTTGTTTCTTCATGTAGAACTAACATTAGCTAGATGGAAACCTGAGAGTCTGTAGGTCAGATGAGGTCACTTACTGCCAGGGCTGGTGGTACCCTCAGTGCCCCGTATCTATTTACTGGCTTTATCATGGAGGGTGTGAGTCCCTCAGCTGTGATGGATCCTACTTTTCCACCTGCATCAAGAGCATTCTGACAGACTCCTCTCCCAAATCAACTGTACAGACAGCTCTTTTAAACATTTCCTTAAAGTCCTTAAGGCCCCAGGTCCCTCAAGTCCTCTCCTAACACTGACCCATCTAGTGCACCTCAAAAAGTAAAACAGCTGATTGTAGTCTGCATCCTTTAGTAAAACCTGGCTTTTTATTGATAAAACCACTGTTCAAGGACAGCTCTAGGCCCCTTCTTAGGGTCATGTGCCCTACATGCCTAATATTTTATACTCTGCCCTGTGTTATGTCAACCACATGCAATAGCAAAAATCCTTCTGCCTCAAATCCAGTCACTGAATCTGAATGAATAACTAAACCTTTCCTGGCTAAGCTACAAATCCTGCCCACAATCTCAGTTCTCTTTGGTATCTGTCCTTCAATGCTCCCTCAGGGAAACAGGTCTCTGGAATCTAGTTATTAAAGTTTTCGTAAAACTTACAGAGTTACGAAAGCTCTCAGGCCATTCTCTTTTTTTGGCTGCACTGGGTCTATGCTACTGCCCACGGGCTTTTTCTCTAGTTGTGGTGGGCAGGCCTCTCATTGCGGTGGCTTCTCTTGTTGCGGAGCATGGGCTCTAGGCACGCGGGCTCAGTAGTTGTGGCACACAGGCTTAGTTCCTCCACTAAGGAACTAAGTGGAGGAACTAAGCATGTGGGATCTTCCCGGACCAGGGCTCAAACCCGTGTCCCCTGCCTTGGCAGGCGGATTCTTAACCACTGCTCCACCAGGGAAGTCCCCAAAATGTATAATTTTAAACTTGTGACACTTTCACCTATTTCAGGAGCCATTTCTCTCTACCAAGCTAGGTCTTATGGTAATAACCCAATTTTCTTTAGCAGAGAAAACAGATGAGAGCAGAGGTCTACATCTAATCTACTTTAGGAAATTTGGTAATTTTCCATTATTCATGTCATGTCTCTTTTACCAGAGAGACAACAAAAACTAATCTGATGATCATGACAGTTTGAAATCTGGATATAAAATCTACATCTCAATCTCAATGTATAAAATATAAAGTAATAAAAGTTGTGAATATCAAAAGCTTACTTTTGAGTTGCTAACTAATCTAGAACAGGTTTCTCAACCAGAGGTGATTTTGCCTGCAGGGAACATCTGTCAGCGCCTAGAGATATTTTTAGTTGTCACAACTGGGGTGTGTATGTGTGTGCTACTAGCAGCCAGTGGCCAGGGATGCTACTAAGCAGCCACAATGTAAAGGACAGTCCACCACAATAAACAATTATCTGGCCCCGAATGTCAATAGTGCTGATAGGGAGGAACACTGATTTTTTTAAAAAATGCTAGGGATTTAGAATGCCTGTGAAAATTCTGATGTTTAAATAGAAAACAATTTTCTAGTTTTGTAATTCCTAATCTAAAAACTAGGTAGAGAAAACAGTGGTGAGAAAGAAGTAAACATCTTAAATGTTTCTTTGTTGTTCTCTAATCTCTGACTGATTCTATCATATAAATAATTTAAAAAACCAAAACAAACACTAACCATAGCATTTAATAGTATACACTGTCTAGGGCTTCCCTGGTGGCGCAGTGCTTGACAGTCCGCCTGCCGATGCAGGAGACGCGGGTTCGTGCCCCGTTTCGGGACGATCCCACGTGCCGCGGAGCGGCTGGGCCCGTGAGCCATGGCCACTGAGCCTGCGCGTCCGGAGCCTGTGCTCCGCAAATGGGAGAGGCCACAACAGTGAGAGGCCCGCATAACGCAAGGAAAAAAAAAAAAAAATAGTATACACTGTCTTTAAAAGCATATGTAATATGGTTCGCAACTGAATTCTCAATTTAAATAATCCTTAGTAAGGGGCAGAGAAGACAACACAAGTTTAAAACCACATTACCGAAGAATCCCATCTTCATGAGTTGCATTAGGCAGGATCCCATCAGATGGACTGACAGGTAAATCCACATCTGGCTGTCCAACCTGAGCATACACAGGCTTTGGTTCTAAAAGAAAAGAAAATTTAAATTATGCAGGAATCACTTTACAAAATGGAATAACAAAGCAAGCAACCACTGAAATAACCAAACAATAAAAAGTCTGCAAAATACAGCAAAAATGTTAAGTTCAGAGAACCTGACCAGGAACATATATACTACATATGCATATATTAGGGTACATTTTACAGTTATAAATTCTGCGATCTTTATAGCATGTATGCACGTTACATGGTCACCTATGCTTTCTACAGCTCCAGCTGTTACAGTCTGAAAAATATACTTTTTAGGGAAGAATAACAGAGGAAGAGGAATATAAGAAGAGAGAATCCCTACATTTCTCTGTTAAGACTGTCAAGGTAGCCTTCTTTCTTCACTGTGATACAATTTATTTTTAAATTTCCACATTCCTGCCACTAAATAATCAGAGCAGAAACAGGTTTTGAGAGAAGGACCTGAGAGACAGTAGAACCAGGACCTCCAGGCCTTTCAGGCAACTGGATCTCAGAACCTTGCAGATTCTTATGTGTGGTCTTGTATACAGGTCAGCAAGGTATACTTCATGAAGTGTTTGTGAAAACACTTTCAATAGACAAGAGAACTTTAAACAGTGTCTAAAGCCAATCTAATATTTCCCTTAATGAGCAGTGCTGGAAAACAACCTCACTCACTGTGAACAGCTGTGAACCACAAATAACTTCTATCTGGAAAATTTGAAAAACATTCACGAATGCTTACTGATACATGGCAACCTCCCACTCACAAAGAAAATGCTGGAAGTACAGAAAAATTCACACATGGGTAGTAGGTAGCAGCAATAGTAGTAGTAGTAATAATTGCATCTTTATATTTTCTGTAAATATAATCCTGTAAATTGTGAAACAATTTAGTCTGAATGCAAATGTTTCCTGCACTCTAGGCTAGGCTTACCTGGAAGACTGGGTGTTTGTTTCTCATTTCTTTCAACTACAACTTCTTCCACTGTTTTAGGTGTGTGATCATCTGCATGCTTTACAGGAGTTGAGACAGCCCCGGGTTTAGAAATTCTCTCTTCCTCTCTGCTCCGGAGACTATACATCATTAAAATAAAAACTTATGAGCATATTGTGAAAACAATTTGTAAAGAGTAAAAGAACAGCCAAGACAATGTCAAAAAAGGATGACAAGGGACTTGCTCTAAAAGATAACAAAATATTGTAAAAACTTAGTAATTAAAACTAGAGTGCTACTGCCACAGAAACAGATAAATAGATCCATGTAACAAAACAGAAAATGGAGAAATATATCCACAGTACCAAAGTTTATTACGGAAGCAGCAGCCCAAAACTGCTGAAAGAGAACACACTGTTTAATAAACAGTGTTTAGAACAACTGTCCACAAATTTAGAAAAATTAGATCTCTATGCATATCAATGACATAAGTATAAATCAATTTCAGATAAAGTCTTAAACATAAAATATATTTTAAAAATCTTATCAAAAATAGAGGACTCTTAAAGTAAGATTCAATGCACAAAATGAAGTGAATACATAAAAAGTTTTAAAAGGTGTGAAAATAATTTGAAAAAATGTCTTAGGTTGAACCAAATGACTTTTTTTAAGTTCAAACAACTGAACATTAGCAATTTGACCAAACAAATGTTAACAGGAGTTCAATTTTAAGACTATATATTGATATAACAATACATATAATAAGAATTTGATATTTAGAACATATGCAAACACACTTTTTAATTATTTTAGAAATAAAAAGAGCCAATGTGTGAACTCATGGACAAAAATGAAAAAGACCTTGGGCTTCCCTGGTGGCGCAGTGGTTGAGAATCTGCCTGCTAATGCAGGGGAAACGGGTTCGAGCCCTGGTGTGGGAGGATCCCACATGCCGCGGAGCAACTAGGCCCGCTCGCCACAACTACTGAGCCTGCGCGTCTGGAGCCTGTGCTCCACAAGAGAGGCCGCGATAGTGAGAGGCCCGCGCACCGCGTTGAAGAGTGGCCCCCGCTCGCCACAACTAGAGAAAGCCCTCGCACAGAAACGAAGACCCAACACCGCAAAAATAAATTAATTAACTCCTACCCCAACATCTAAAAAAAATAAATGAAAAAGACCTAGAAACAGACTTCCCATAATATGGAAAATTTCTCATCAAAAGAATAAGCTGGAAGGATACTCACCTGTGTTAAGTGAAATAAACTACTATCTGAGGAATATGTGCAGAGCCTGATCTCTTCAAATTATTTTTAAAACACACAGAAACTCTATGATGCTACAATGTTTGCACGAGTACAGCGGAAAGCTTAATTCAAGAAGGAGATCTGGGATAAGGTGGAGTTGGCAGATTTGGCCTATTTCACCTGTTCTAACGAGCATACAATGCTTTCATAATTGAAGATTAAAAATTAAAATATTAAAGTTACAATGAAATAGAGTTATATCTGGAGACATGAAAATAGCCCCAAAATAAAATGTGAGGAACAAACTGCAGAATATATGTGGTGTGACATCACTGAGGTATTAAAGAAAACTCTCCACAGCTACACAAACACATGTCGACGCCACGTGCAGAAAGACCCAGACAGACAGAGGCGACAGAGGTTCTTGGAGTGGGGAGCAGACAAAACAGCAGCCCAGGGAAATCTGAGATTTATCTCCACTATTTCAGTTTTCATAAGAAAATATTTACATAGTAAAGACTGTAGTCTTTAGAAGTAAAGACTGAAAAGTAAAGACTAAAGAAGTAAAGACTGAAATGTTTTTAAATATTTTAAAATAATGTTCATTATTTAAAAATGGAATTAAGTCTAATCTTAAACAACGAATTTTATTCTATTAATGCATATTATTAGCAGTCTCTTACCAGGAAAAAATTTCTTCCCGTTATCCTCTTGAAAAAATAAAACATAAGCACTTTTCAGAGTTTCTATTTTCATGTTCATTTAACTACTCAGTGGGGGTGTATTCCGGTTTTAAATTATATGTATTAAATGAGCTGCATGTAAGTAAAACAGTCTTTCAGAAAGTAAAGCCAAGATATCTTCTAGCTCAAACCAGAATGAACTTTCTAAATCATAAAAGGTTAAAATTTTTAGCCACTGCTTATGTAATAAAATCTTACATACAATTAGTCTAAGTATAAATAAATACAGTTAAACTCTATCCCCAAACTGCTCTAGGCACACCTCAGAATATAAAGGGAAATACAAAATAATAAATTCTCCTTGCATTCTTTGCACTGAAAAATGCAAATGATATAAGTATGAACATTTTGAAGAGAATGAGATTAAAGAACTACATAATTTTAGTAGTTCTACAGATTTTGTTGCTCTGCAACAGACTTTAAAGACTATTTGCTTAAAAAAGATCAAAAAACAAACGTTTCCAATTGACTTTCTTGTTTCTTGTAACTTAAAAATTCTAAACTTAGAATGTGACCAAGTGACATTAATGATAACTAAGAATCAATAATATTTTAATCTGAACGTCCTCCCCAGTGATAACCAAGACTGTCGTGCAATAGGGCTCTTGCTCCGTACATCACACGGAACTCCCGCTAGTAGAGCTGGCTAATTTTCATACTCTATACCACCTTTCTTTAATATAATTATTATGAATTAACATTGCAGATGGGTGGAACGCACATCATTCTATTAGATTTTTCATACAATTAATATTTGGAAAAATCATTGTTCATTTTTAGTGTATTTCCATTATCTACCAAAAGATGGAAGCATTATTCAATACATGTAGATTTGGAGCCGTGCTGTTAATGGAATTGTGAGGCAAGTCATTTATGTAATTTAAAAATTTCTAGAATCCATATTAAATAAATGAGGTGAAATCAATTAATACATTTTATTTAACTCAGTATACCCACAATATTATTTAAGTAATCAATATAAATGATTAATGAGGTATTTTACACATTCTTTTTTGTGTACTCAGTCATCAAACTCCAGTGTGTAGGTTCACACTTACGTCTCTATTTAAACTGGCCACATTTCAAAGGCTCCACAGCCACATGTGGCTAGTGGCAATGGTGTTGGGCAATGAAGATCTAGAGTAACAGTACAGAACAAAATAATAAACTTTTCCAAACATTTAAAATGTTCTACTATGAGCATGTATGACCATTAAGTCTATTATAAGACAAAGAATAGAATTTAGACACAGAATCAGCCTACAATCAGTGGCAGTTATTGAAAGTGAAGCCATAAAAAAGGAAAATACATTTTCCCCAAACCTTCCTTACACAGTTCTACCCTAATGGCTCCCATGTAATATTTAAGTTTTAGTAAAAAAACAACTTCTGCTATTATGAGTCAAGCCAACTTTATACAAAAACCATCTTTGTCCTGAGTTGGACTCATGTTTATCTACCACACTCTGGCTCCTAGTAGCCTAGAAAGAAACTCCAGGCATTCTAGGGGACCTTGAGACCCTCTGAAGGGTGTTTTTGTTTTTCCCCTAGAGGGTAAGCAGATAGATTTTTTCGGATTTTTCACTTGTACATATTAATCTAACAGTAATGATCCATTAATCTAAAGACTGCAGGCTGCTTGAAAGCTCTGCGGAACAGTTGTTAAGACAAAGTCTCTGAAAGAGAGTTTTTACAGTCACATAAATGGGCTCATTGTAAACAGAGCCTTAAGTTGTATCCAGTCAACTCTGTAAGTACAGTAGCAGATTAACACACATTCAACCAGATCAGCAAAGATTAACAGATTAAGTGCAAAACTTCAGGTGTAAAGTCACAGCTGTTTGGGACCATTTAGTGCAGGCAGAGGGCAGGCAGCGAGGTCAGAAGAGAGACCTGGAGAGACACTGCAGGAGGAAGGGGCTCTCCTCTGTCCCCTCGGCAGCCCCTGCAGGACACAGGGGCCAGATGCACTCAGTGGCCAGCAGCTTTCCCCAGACACTTCCTAGGTTGGTTTTACAGTGCGCGGTCTCTGACAAGACACCTCCTCAAGATTGGCTTTCCCAAGCCCCTTGGAGGGCAGATTTCCTGCAAGTTCATCCAGTGACACCACAGTGAATTCTCTGCCATGCAGTGAGCCTCAGGTGTGTGAGGACAGGTGGGGAAGCTTCTTCCTTTGGCAAATCCATCTCAGCACCAGGGGAAGGGCCTGCTCCTTACATCTGATTCTTATATTTTTCAGAGTTCTCTTTATTTATTACTGGCTAATCCCTTGTCACTCCAATCTCGTTATATTTAATCTCTTTATGTTAAATTCGCTCTGCTCACAAGAAACTGTGCTTTCTGTCTTTTGGACCCTGATGAAATATGCCAGACTGCCAATTCTTCAAGGAGTTTTATTTCTGATTTCTAGTTCTCAAACACCTCCCCAACTGACTGGTTACATCTTATTTAAAAATAATCTTAATACAGGAAATAAACTAATGCTGAATGTTCACTGTAATAAAAAATCCTTTTATAAAGCTAATTTCCTCTTACATAATAAATGACTCATCCTACATAAGCCAATTTATAATTTCTTTTCAGAAACTCATTTATTGCATAAAGGGAGGCAAGATCTACACAGCTTAGGATGAACACAGCAACTAGGTACCCTTTAAAGGCCACTGGACTATCTCAGCCCCAATTATCAATAAAGATAGAAACTTAGAAAGTAACTTAACCAGACTCCAAAGTTCTTCTCCACTGGCAGGGACAGTTCGGCATGGAGGGCTCCTAATACATATGAGAAAGAAAAACCAAGGCACACTCAAGTCTGACTTCTCAGAATATTGCAGCCATTGCTAATCTTCTAAATTTCATATGGAAACAGATATTTACATACTGCAGTTCCTCCTCGACAGCAATTCAAAAATTACAGCATGGCACACAGACGATTATAGGCATGAAAAAGGCAGAGAGATGTGGAGATTCTGGGCTGGTACTTGGGCAGAGAAATGAAGAGCTGCCCAGGGAGTATGCTGAGAAAGCAGGGGGAATAATTACCTTATATCTACTTGGCTATATTTGCAAGCGAAGTTCTCACAATTTAAATTTGTTCTTTATACATTGTAATCTATTTTCAGAAATATATATATGTGTGGTGTACGTTTTTGA